GGTAGATTTTTGCAAGCTTAACTGGGGTCATGTACCACCTGTACACCATTTTCATAATATTCTCTTTTAAAGCATTACATGCTGTGAACTTCGTACCTGTGGTCCATAACCATTCCCAGTCAGCAAACATAATGTTATGTCCAATATCCTGTGCCCATTTAATCATAGCAGATTTTACCGTTTCATCCTGAGTATTCCATTTTAGCAGCAAGTTATACATTCTTGAAAGTGTTTTAGTTTTGGAATCTAGCAGTTCTGTTTCCAACTTTGATTTTTCCACCTGGAAGCCAATTTTTCTATCCAAATTATAAACCTCTCTTATTTGGTAGTAATGCAACCAGTCTCGCACTCTGTCTTTTAATTTTTCAAAACTCTGCAATTTGAATTTATCTCCTTCTTGTTCCAAGATCTCCCAATATTTTGGCCACTTGGCCTCCATATTGGACTTTTTTAGGGCCTTTGCCTCCATTGGTGATAGCCACCTTGGGGTTTTGTTCTCCAATAAGTCTTTGTATCTTATCCAGACATTAAACAATGCTTTCCTGACAATATGGTTTTTAAATATTTTGTGAGCTTTCACCTTGTCATACCACAAATATGCATGCCACCCAAACACATTATTAAATCCTTCTAAGTCCAAAACATCAGTATTTTCCAGAAGTAGCCAATCCTTCAACCAGCAGAAAGCTGCTGATTCATAATAAAGTTTAAGGTCTGGCAGGGCAAATCCCCTCTTTCTTTAGCATCAGTCAATATTTTAAATTTTATCCTAGGCCTCTTGCCCTGCCAGACAAACTTAGAAATATCTCTCTGCCACTTCTTAAAACAGTCCATTTTGTCTATTATTTGTATCGATTGAAACAAAAACAGCATTCTTGGCAATACATTCATCTTGATGACAGCAATTCGACCTAACAAGGAAAGCTTCAAGTTTGTCCATAGTTCTAAATCTTTTTAATGTCCGACCAACACTTTTCATAATTGTCTTTAAATAAATTCCCATTTTTAGCTGTCATGTGAATCCCCAAATATTTCACTTTTTTACCACTGTTAAACCTGTCTCATTCTGAAACCTCTCTTTTTCTATCGGTGTTAAATTCTTCTCAAGTACTTTAGTTTTAAACTTATTCAGCTTAAAACCTGCCACCTGACCAAACTCTTGAATCAGTTCTAATGCTCTTTTCGTACTAGATTCTGGCTCCTGTAATGTCAGTACAAGGTCATCTGCAAATGCTTTCAGTTTATATTGTTTCGCTCCGACCGTTATGCCCTTAATCAGATGGTCCCTTCTTATCATATTTAACAAAACCTCCAGAACAGAAATAAAAAGTAGTGGGGAAATTGGGCAGCCTTGTCGTGTCCCTTTCTCTATCTTAATTTCCTCTGTTATCACATTATTAACTATTAATTTAGCTTTTTGTTCTGAATAAATTGCATTTATACCATTTTCAAACTCTTGGCCTACCCCCATCCCCTGAAGATTTTTTTCATAAAACTCCAAGAAATATTGTCAAAGGCTTTCTCTGCATCCACAAAGATCAAAACTGCTTTAGTATTGATCTCCTCTTGCAGCTTCTCCAGAATATCAATTACGTTCCTTGTGTTGTCCGAAAGATGTCTATCTGGAAGAAAGCCAGCTTGGTCCTTGTGAATCACTCCTTTTAACACTTTTTTTAAGCCTTTTTGCTAAAATATCAGCAAAAATTTTGTAATCCACATTTAACAGGGATATGGGCCGGTAGTTCTTAAGCTGTGTCTTTTCAGTCTCAGCCTTTGGTATAAGTGTAATAAATGCGTCTTTCCACGACTCTGGCGCTCTTTTCCCCTCTAAAATTTCATTACAAACCTCAGTTAAAGGTCGAATTAACCAGTCTTTCAAAGTTCTGTAATATTTTGAGGTTAAACCATCCGGTCCTGGAGATTTTCCCAACTGCATATTCTGAATGGCACCTTCAACCTCCTGTTCTGTAATTTTATAGTTCAACAATATCTTGTTATCCTGAGAAATTTTTTGTAATCCATTGGTTTTCAAAAATTGCTCTATCTCGAATTCTTTCTGGGGCCCTTGTGTGTATAGTCGTTTAAAATATCTCTGGAAGCATTTCCTAATTTCTTCTGGATTCTGGATATTTTTCCCTTCCACTTCCAAATTAATAATAGTATTAAGTTTTTGTCGTTTCTTCAACTGCCAAGCCAGCAGTTTCCCACATTTATTTGCCGATTCAAAAGTCTTTTGTCTCATTTGCTTGATCTTCCATTCCACTTCTTGATTTATCAATTTCATATATTGCACTTGGTACAATTTTATTTCCCTCAGAATCTCTTGTGAGTTGGGCTTCACTCTCAATTTCTTCTCGCCCTCCAATCTTCTTTAAACCTATGTTCTTCTTGTTCTCTTTTTCTATATGTTAAGTCTACAAGCTGCGCATATTCCATCAGTTTAAGTTGCCATTCTTCTTCAAATGGTCGAGAAGCGAGTTCCTGTGTGTGTGTGTGTGTGTGTGTTTTGTTATCCTCTGCTCGGGGTTCATGAGGGTTTTGAATACAGATGAAGGTGACCAAAGTTTGGTGAAAGACCCTGTGTGAGAAGCAGCGAAGGGAGGATCTCCCAGGCTGGGAGAAGAAAGGGGCAGGAGAAAAGAAGAGGAAAGCAAGTCTTCAAACATCAGTTATGTCTGTGTCTCATCCAGAAAGTATAGCCAGAGACATCTTGGCAAATTTAAAAAATCCACCCGGACGGAAATTTCACCCCTGAAAAAGAGGACACGTCCTGGAAAAAGAGGATACATGGGAACCCTACTAAGTGACCTACGTTTAACTAGTAATCCACCAGGACAATCCTAATTTTACCATATTATAAAATACTGTGATGTTGCCTGATGTAGTTTGTTCAACACACCTAGGATGAAGCTCAGCTGAATGGTTAATAGACAAATTGCTGACTTGCTCAGTCACAGAATTCATGTATATTCTAAGCTTTGATGTGAATAACAATCGTCGCGGCTAGATTTCTGTACATCAGAGGATAGGGTGTAACCTCTGCAGTTAATAAGCAGCCCATACTGACAGCAATTGATGCAGTTCAGCTATTTATAAGTATGGATAAAGCTCAAAGGATAATAGTGTTTGGTACATATATTTGCTTTTCCATAATCTTACTGAATCAATTTATTTTTCACTCTTCATCATCCACCATCATTATAGCTTGCATTACCCTGAAAAAACATGAAATTCATAAGCATCCAATATGATAGTTGCAATGGGAAAACATGCCAGGAAATATATGATATCCATTATAGCAAAGATATATTTGATTTAGTGGCAGACTGACAAAGGGAAGCAAAATAATATTAGTCTTTCTATAGGCAGCAATTTGTTTGAAATTTGCAGGCTTTTCCCTCTACTCCATTACTGATGAAAGTCTGTTGTGTCAATAGTAAAAAAAAAAATAATAATGCTTAAATTCTGACATATATAGTCAACGTGCCACAGAAACATAGCTCAAACAACCAGTGTTTTCAAACAAACAAAATCTGGGCGCTCATCATGTAAGCTGTTTTTATTGTATTGAGCTGCTAATTGACTGTATTTCACTCTGCCAAAAAAAAAAAAAAAGGAAGTTTATTGTTTCTGTATATGCTTTTAATTATGACCTTCTACCCTAGTGCTTAGCCCTGTAAGCCTCCCTGGGAAATGTGTTGATGAGAGGCAATATAAATCTGATAATAAGATCCATCTGTAACCAAGCTTAATGCATATTCCATTGATTGCAATGCTGTGCAGATAGACTGCATGAACACTTCAAGGCGCATTAAAGTTCCCTGAAAATTGCAAATTCCAATCGGCCATCTATGGAGATTCCCCACACCGTTCCAAATTTTCTGTTTCCTGTTACGCATACAGAAGGTAAGAGACTCACAGAGAGTGGAGGGAAAAGAGGAAACAAGGAGTTTGTTTTGTTTCTCTTGCTCACCTTTGTAATACATTTTTCAGCCAGACGTTCACAGCTTTCCATAAACATTCGTCTTCGAGCAAAGACCAAGGCTGGAAATTTTCATCCTCCCAGGTGAAAACTTCAGAAAGATTTAAGAGCAACCTCATTGCCAAGGCATCCCTAAACTGCTTATTACAGGAAGCTGGGGTTGAACGACAGGGAATGATGGATCACTCCATTACTGCCCTGTGACTTCTCATTCATTTCTTCCGAAGCCTCCGGTTCTGGCCACTGTCAGAGGTGGAAATCTGGGCTCGACGGACCATTGGGCTGACCCGGAATGGCAGCTCTTTGGTTATCTTCTTAATCGATCTGATACAGAGAGCTAAACGGCACACTTAGTGTAGTTTAATGGGCAATATTGCCATTCACTTCAATGAAGCTAGGTTTCCACTCCAGAAATTAACTGCAGTCGTAACTACACTCTGCCATTTAAGGTAAAGACCAGAAAGCAGAGGAACTATGAATGGTCACTGCTAGAAGTTGCTACGGAAGCTGGCACACACTAAAGAAACAAGCTTGCTATAACTCCCTATAATATTGTGTCCAACTCTTAAAAGCGTTTGTGCTATGAATTACTCCTTACTGCCTTGAAATTTATTTAAAGGGGAAAGTTCCTGAGTAGATTTAGAAAGATTTTAAGGCTGCTTGGTTTCTTACACAGGAAAAGAAAGCAACCAGTCCCCACAAGGGATTTTGCTTTCTGAGGCAAAGCAGCAGATTTACAAAAACGTGACGCTTGGCAGTCCTAGCAGATTCCCTGACCCATCATGTACCATGAAGATGAATAGAATTAGCTTCCAAGAAACGCTTTCTTTCCAATCAGTAGGTGGAGCAAGCATAATCTATGCTGTCTCCTTTCTCTTCTGATACAGCCAAAGATATATAGTGGGGTAGGAGAACTAAAAATAATTCCAATATATTTCACATCTGGCAACCAATGAGCCCCTTTGGTTTCTGATAGTACGAGTATAGAAAGCTAGCGACACAAATTTTCATGGCCCTCTAGTGTCTATGGTGGCTCATTTACCATAAGTATTTAGCATTAAACTCTGGAAACAAAGACTCGATTCTGACCAAACTAGCATAGGAGGCTTAGTTTGGTCAGAATTGAGTATATACTTCCAGAGTTAAAGCTAAATACATGACTTCTAGTAAATAAGCTACCATAGCCATTAGAGGGCCATGAAAATAGCTTTCTAGAACTCGAATCCCCACGACGGGGTGAGCTCCCGTTGCCCAGTCCCTGCTCCTGCCAACCCAGCAGTTTGAAAGCACGTCAAAGTGCAAGTAGATAAATAGGTACCGCTCCAGCGGGAAGGTAAACAGCGTTTCCGTGCGCTGCTCTGGTTCGCTAGAAGTGGCTTAGTCATGCTGGCCACATGACCCGGAAGCTGTACGCCGGCTCCCTCGGCCAATAAAGCAAGATGAGTGCCGCAACCCCAGAGTCGGCCATGACTGGACCTAATGGTCAGGGGTCCCTTTACCTTTACCTAGACTCGTCTACCCATGTGCTATCTGAAACCCAAGGGGTGCATTGGTTACCAGACATGTGTTGTTGTTTTTCCCAGCTGTCTTTCCCCACTAATAGGCCTTCAATACCAAACAACTGAGCCAGAGCAGAATGCTTGTTATGACATTGTCTGTCTTGTGGGTTTATACATGATTCCCCCCTGCTTTTTTGCTGCATCTAACCCATGAGGAATTATTTGTGCTCCCTGATCTATCCATACTGGGGAAGCTCAGGAGAAATGGGTGCCCTTCAACATCTGCTGCCTCTTCACTTTGCCCGATAGTAGGGCCAACCCTAGAGCCCCTCCTCCGTCATGTTGCTACACTTAAGGGTCTTCATAATCAGTGGCACTTTCTACATGGTCATCAACAGGCAACTGCATGAAGCCATTGTGATATTAATCTGGAACCACTTTGATGGCCATGTCCTCATTCTATTCATAACATCTATGATGGGAGCGGGTGGCACTGTGGTCTAAACCACTGAGCCTCTTGGGCTTGCTGATCGAAAGTTCAAATCTCCGCGACGGGTGAGCTCCTGTTGCTCTATCCCAGCTTCTGCCAACCTAGCAGTTCGAAAGCACATCAGTGCAAGTAGATAAATAGGTACCGCTGCACTAGGAAGTTAAATAGCGTTTCTGTGCACTCTGACGTCCGTCACGGTTTTCTGTTGCACCAGAAGCAGTTTAGTCATGCTGGCCACATGACCCGGAAAGCTGTCTGTGGACAAACGCCAGCTCCCTTGGCCTGAAAAGTGAGATGAGCACCTTGACCCCATAGTCGCCTTTGACTGGACTTAACTGTCCAGGGGTCCTTCATCTTTTACCTTTACCATGATGGGCATCAGCCCACGCCTACAAGGCATGGTCACATTATCTTTTCAGAAAGCTCCACTAGGATACGATGTTATATTTAAAGGAGCAACGTACTACTGAGACCACATGTGGTGCATTTACAAAATTATAAAGAAAATGAAGAGTCCTTGGCCACCAAATAAGAGTTCTTAAGAACCACACCCTTTCATTTCCATTGATATTTTTTAAAAAAAGAAAAGAAAAAGTGTTAGCCCCTTTTACAGAAGCAGCTTTGCTTCTCTTCTCTATGCTTCTTCAAATTGTTGAAATAAAGGTCATTTGAAGTTTCAGAATAGCTTGAGTTTCCACAGTTATTGAACACTGTACCACTTGAGCAGCCGTCTATGAAATAGCATGTGAAGCATGTAAAATTATCTTTCATTCAGCTTCTTCCTGATTGAGCAAGGGAATTAAGACAAGCTGGTTCCCTCTTCTGTGATTTGAAAATAGCCACCTTGTATTGTTTTTATATATATTTTAAAAAACCCTTCCTTCCAGAATATAGTTCTGCCTTATCAAATGCTCATTGCAACATTAGTAATTAGCAACGTCTCCACCCCATGAATTTTAGAAATCATGACAATAATCTGTTTGTAAGGCCCATAATAATGTAGACATCTTCCATTCTTTATGAGTTCCTCACAAATGCCTTGGAATGTGTGTGGGTTTTTTTCCAGATGCGTGTTTACAGTGACACCAGCCCTTTGGTCTCCACACAATATTTCATGAAAATGTGCGTTAAAGCATCATAGCAAGTCACGGGCAATTTCACAATTCCTCTGACAGAAGTTGTGGGGTCTACAATGTAGATGCTTGCAGTTGAAGTTGGAGAAAGGTATTTATTTGACAGTTACTTCTGAAAGCCTGCCTGAAATGCAGTGAAAGATGTGGCCTTTACAAAGAAGGGCTAAATATTTCTTGCCATCGCCCTGTGCCAAGCATAACAGAAATAGCCATAATTGATTGGACATTTTTAAATTGGTATTCTTATAGCATTAGGTCTGTTATGCTAATGTGCTTCTGTCACAAGCAGAGAAGGAATCCCTTTCTATTTGCATTTCATGGTTTTCCTCCCTTGCAACCTTTGACTTTAACCATCTTTTGCAGTCATTCCCTTCTGCAAAATACACCACCGGATTGTTTTTTCAAACCTCATTCGTCATGTCCTTCCTTCCAAACTGTGCATTGTGTGTTATGTGGAAGGAAAGAAAGGAAATAAGATGGCCTTGCCCCAAATTCATAGAAAATACATGAGCTACATTCCTGTGACCATGTTTTGTCCTTCAACAAATATGGCGGAACACTGGCTGTTTCCAATAAAATGAAGGCTAGGGTGGTGAGTCCATGTTTGGGCTCAATGCCCCAAAATCTGTAGCAAAAGATGGGCCATCCTCAGTCATAAAAAGGGGGACCCCGTTCAACATTTACCCAGTTATATATCATCTGGGAGATGATATATAACGAGCTGAAAAAAATGTTGAAATATACTTTTATAAAGAAACCAGAAGCATTTCTCTTGGGTATTGTTGGAAATGATATAAATAGAAAGGAATGTAAGCTTTTTCTATATGCAGTAACAGCAGCAAGAATATTATTGGTCCAAAAATGGAAGCAAGAAGAATTACCAACGATGGAAGAATGGAGGATGAAATTAATGGACTATGCGGAATTTGACAAACTAACAGGAAGGATTTGAAACCGGTGGGACCAGAAATTCCCCGAAGACTGGAGTAAATTTACGGATTATTTGAAAAGTATTTGTGACGACCAGACGGCGTTTGTAGGTTTACAAGAAGTTCTGTGAGGAATAAGATTAGAAATATTGTAAAAATGTAGAAGGAGAGATGATATGTTAAAAGATGTAAAGGCAATATTAAGTTAGGAAATGCATAATAAGTGATTAAGACGGAGGATTATCAGAGGTGCTGATGAAAGTCCAAGAAGATTGTATTTGTGATAAACTGTGTGGTATGTTTTATAATTTTATATGATAAAACCAATAAAAAAATTTTTTTAAAAAACAACAACATTTACCCAGTGCTTTTTCTGGGGGTACTCAGTACTGGCACCCTTTTCTAGAAGAAAAGCACTGGTTTTACCTATTCTGTTTGTGTAATCTCATAGTCCTAGCTCCGTGCTTCTGCTGCTGATATGTAACTTCTTATCTCAGGGATATACACCGATTCTATTAGTGCAAAGCCTGGGGCCTGACAATATTGTGCTGAAATGATTGTTCTGTTGTGAGGGAAGAGTTACCCACACAGATTTAATTAACAGCAGCAGCAGTGTATTCACTGCTCTAGCACTGTGTGGTAAATTACTAATCAGAACTGCAGGCCCACTGGAGAGAACTGGATGGGAGCTATTTTATGCAGTGTGAAACAGAAGTCAGCTACATTAACGTCTTTTATATGTAATAAATTCAAAAATAGGCTACGGCTGTAAAGCCCAGCAGGCTAGCACCTAAATACTCACTATTACATTGGTGGCAACTGAATTCTTGAATTGCATTAATGATTACTACCTCTGCAATGGCTGGGCGAACCTTAGCAAATGTGATTCAGCCGGTTTGGGACACAGGCAGAGATCATAGCCTTTGTAGTCTAAATTAAAGACAGCAGCCCAGCTAAATTAAAATTTTAGGTCGAATCTATGCTGTCAAAAGGGATAGCTAAAAACATCATGGTGTAACATGTGATAACTGCTCAGAAAGGCCATGTGTTCTGCCATTACTTTGTATTGTGTTCACAACATTGTCATTAATTTGGTCTCCCCTTAAAAAAAAACCCCACACACTTTGGGATCCTGCTGACTTAGGATATGATCAGCTAGCTTCCAATCTTTCTCTATTCCAATCTTTCTCCAGGCAGTCTTGGGTGAGGATCCCAGTGGCCTTGGGATGAACCAGGAAGTTCTAGGACTTGATCTGGAAGATACATAGCTAAATTTGTGGATATATAGCTAGGGAAAATAAATTCCTTGTGATCTTTACACCAAAAGGGCAGGTAATAGATGTTTTGATAGATGATAGATGATAGATAGATAGATAGATAGATAGATAGACAGATAGACAGATAGATGATAGATAGATGATATAGATAGATGATAGAGTCATACCTTGGAACTCAAATGCCTTGGCTCCCGAAGAAATTGGCTCCCGAACTATCAAAACCCAGGACTGTTCCAGTTTTGAAACATTCTTTCAGAAGCTGAAGATCCGATGGCGCTTACAGGGCTTCCAATTGGCTGCAGGACCGTCCTGCAGCCAATCGGAAGCTGCACTTTGGTTTCTGAATGTTTTGGAAGTCAAATGGACTCAGCCATGGTTCACAGTTCTCTGAATTTTAGGAAAGTAATGTGCAAGTAATAAACCGTGCTAAGATGTGCATAGAAATGTGTATATTAGTAAAATCTGCATGCAGAAATGCACTACTTTAGGGGAAATTGGTTTGTAGAATTTTGTTTATCCAGGAAAATTGCAGACAAAAATATGTATATTGGGAGAAAATCACTCTAAGACACTGGTGAATCTTCATGAGGACTTTTCTTTCTTAATTGCATCCTGATGTGGAAATGTGACCCATTGTGCCACCTGAGAGTAATAGCTGTCAGTTGTGTTTCCTCTCAGTATCTTATCCTTGCAAACCTAAGTTCAGTTGTCTGCATTTTCACGTCAGTTTGTGATACACATTTTTGTATGCCATCGTGTCTAATATAAATATTTTCCCCCTAATATAAACAATTTCCCCTAACAACGCATTTTGACAAGCCATTTTCCAATTTGTCACACTTTCCCCTAATATATGCATTTTCCTCTAATATAGGCAAACCTAGACAGCATCTTAAAAAGCAGAGACATCATCTTGCCAACAAAGGTCCGTATAGTTAAAGCCATGGTTTTCCCAGTAGTGATGTATGGGAGTGAGAGCTGGACCATAAAGAAGGCTGATCGCCGAAGAATTGATGCTTTTGAATTATGGTGCTGGAGGAGACTCTGGAGAGTCCCATGGACTGTAAGAAGATCAAACCTATTCATTCTGAAGGAAATCAGCCCTGTGTGCTCACTGGAAGGACAGATCCTGAAGCTGAGGCTCCAATACTTTGGCCACCTCATGAGAAGAAAAGATCCTGGAAAAGACCCTGATGCTGGGAAAGATTGAGGGCACAAGGAGAGGGGGACGACAGGGGATGAGATGGTTGGACAGTGTTCTTGAAGCTACAAACATGAGTCTGACCAAACTGCGGGAGGCTGTGGAAGACAGGAGTGCCTGGCGCGCTCTGGTCCATGGGGCCAAAAAGAGTCAGACACGACTAAACGACTAAACAACAACATGCATTTTTGAAGCCTTCTTCGGTTTTAGAACTACCAGGTAGCTCAGTTGGTTAGAGTGTGGTGCTGATAAGGCCAGGGTTTGCAGGTTCGATTCCCACATGGGGCACCTTCAGATTCCTGCATTGCAGAGGGTTGGACTTGGGTCCCTTCCAGCTCTACAATTCTATGATTCTATAGGAGAAGTTCAGGGAAGGGTGAATTTCAAAGGTTAGCTGCACTTCAGTTTGTGCATTGTTTTGGGGAGGGTGAACAAGGTAGGTTCACATTAAGCTGAGAACTGAACTGGATTTCTCCCCTATCCCTGATTTTAAACATGCCCCAGCCATACTTGGAAATGCTGAGGTGGAGCCTGGGGGTCAGTGTGGTGTAGTGGTTAATAGCGGTAGTCTTGTAATCTGGTGAACCGGGTTCGCATCCCTGCTTCTCCACATGCAGCTGCTGGGTGACCTTGGACCAGTCACACATCTCTGGGGTCTCTCAGCCCCACTCACCTCACAGAGTGTTTGTTGTGGGGGAGGAAGGGAAAGGAGAATGTTAGCCGCTTTGAGACTCCTTAGGGTAGTGATAAAGCGGGATATCAAATCCAAACTCCTCTTCTTCTTCTTTTGCATGGAAAGTAGCAGTAGCCCCTTATAGCATCACGTTGTCCTTATTAGAAAAGGCATAACCACAGTGTTAGATGTGATGTCTGAAAGCACGTCGAGATCTCATTTATAAGCTGTCAGGCTGTTCAGCAAAGCATTGCTACTTCTGCCAAAGTGCAGGCTGACGGTGTAAGAGATTTACATCCTTTGGGGATTTGAACTCACATCACAACTTGGTCAGGGGACCGGACTTACAATGGAATGCCCCAGTGCATTAAACATTTTTAGAAAAAATACCAAAGCAAAAAACAACAACAAAAACCCAATCTGCACAGGGAAAACATACATTTTGCTCCGAGCTTCAAGACCAATCCTAACTGTCACAATAATCCTTAATGGTGCCAGTTTGAGGAATGCTAGCATTCAGATGAACAAAGGGGCTTGAAGCATTTTCTGAGTACCTAAAGACATGTCTTGGCTTTCCCCACATTCCTTTTTCCCTCAGAAACAACCCATCATTTTCAAAAGATGACTTAGTCTTAACTGCATCCAGCATTGTAGTGTAAACAAAAATGGAATAAAATACAGCGTTGAGGAATGCAGGGGAAAGCAGTTCGTTTGGAACCCACACATTCCTTTGATAGAGTGCTTGTTAACACGGGAAACAATAAAAAAGAAAAACATACAGATTTATTGTGTGAATCTAAAAAAAAAAAAAAAAGGCTCATTCTCTCTTAAATGTGGAACTGTAATGACACTATATCCTTGAGCTCTTTTTGTTATTTTTCAGAATGGGTTTTAAAACATACACATTTTTTTCCCCTTCTGCTTTTCTTATACTTCTTCCCTTCCCATGCCCTCCAGCATTTCTCTGATGAAAACAGGGATGACCCATTCCATAACGATAATTTCACTATTTATACCACACACATCTTGCTTGGGTTGCTCTGGGCAGCTTCCAACATGTAAAAAACCATAACAAAACATTAAACATTTTTTAAAAACTTCCCTATACAGGATTGCCTTCAGCCGGTTCGGTGGTCCGATAACTCCATGCCCTCCAACATTTCTCCGATAAAAATAGGGACATCCTAAGGAAAAGTGGGACATTCCAGGATCAAATCTGAAACCGGGACGGCTTCTCTAAATCAGGGATGTCCCTGGAAAATAGGGACACTTAGAGGGTCTGTATGGAGATGTGATCACACATTCCTCCCTCGCCTCTCCCTTATCCTGTCTTATCACCCTGGTTTGGTAAACAGCATCAAGTCAGAGATTTGAACTGGGGAACTTGTGGCTTAATGCAAGATAGGAACTTCTCTAAATAAGGGATGTCCCTGGAAAATAGGAACACTTTGTGAGTCTGGATTCCGCATTCGGTTTTAAACACCGACACTTCTAGTGACAACTAGAAATGCATGAAAACCTGCAACAGATTTCCAGAATTCAAATAAGTTGCCACCCCATCTTCCTTTTTAGATGGATGTAAAACCATCCTAATGTTTTTGTAATGGATTGAAAACTATCCAGAGCAGGGTAACACCAGTCTTGTAAAAAGTCACTTGGAGCAGGTTGCAGGATAGACAGTTCCCTTGTTGCCATCGTCCTCCTCCTCCAGCAACTTAGGCCCCAGAGGAAGAGGAAGCTGCCTACCCAAGTGCCTGTCTACTTCTGCAGTGCCTTCCTGTTGCTTTCCTCTACCAGCTCCACGAACAGCTCTGTTCTGAGCAAGGCTTAAAGATAGAAATAGTTACCTTTTATCCAGTATTATCCTTCTAGAAAAAGAGGTGCCGGAAGTCACCATGAACCTTGTTTTCTTATAATGGCAATGGCACCTGCCTGAGAGGTGCCAGAGCAGACTTCTAACAACTTCTGACTGGAAAAAGCCATGCATTTACTCCATATTATCATTCTTAAGGAAATCAGCCCTGAGTGCTCACAGGAAGGATGGATCCTGAAGCTGAGACTCCAATACTTTGGCCACCTCATGAGAAGATAAGACTCCCTGGAAAAGGAGTTGCTTTTTCATCCTTTTTTAAATTGCCTCATCCAACCCTTCAGGATCGGGATGGCTATAAATCTAAATGTTATGATTATAAGCAGAGAGGGAATTGCAATTCAGAACTGTTGGAGTGGGGGTTTTTTTGGGGGGGGGGCTTCAGTTCATAGTAATAAACAACGTCAGAAATGGCCGACATGGACCAGAATGGCCTGTGAACTTGTTGGAAGTAAAGCAGCAAAGTTTGCAATAAGTTACCTGGGCCAGTGGGGGAGCCATAGACAGAAAGGCAACCCATTTTGGGTTCCTTCTTAAGTTGCTTGTCTTTTCCCCCTCCTCTTCCTGTGTCTCTTAGTATTAGACCCTTTTGTTAACCTCCATGACGCCAGGAATGGCTTTGTTTGCCAGAAATAATAAACCGTGAGTTTCTATATTCCTTCAGCCAGTAGTTTTAGCAGGCTTTTTCTGCTCTCCAAACTCCCAACACTCTTCAAAGTCAGTTTCTTACTGTAAAGTCAGAGGCACCTGGGAAGCAGGAAGAAAAGATAGCCACCTATCTCTGCAGGAACTTATACTCTCGGCTAAGCAAACAGTACCCATCTGGGGAGCGTGGCTACTAGCCATGTCCATAGCATTTCACACTCGGTTAGAAAATTTAAATGCCAAAAGCACACCAAAATGGAAGAAAGCAGGACAGAGGAGGCAGGGCAGGGGGACTTTCACAGACCATTTGACAGACAGCGCTTTATTTTAATAGACCACTGAAATAACACTGTAGAATGACAATATGCAGGTGGAGCTGGGACTGTGAGGGTCATTGAGCACTTTGAATTTCCACACCGCATTACAATTATAGAAATCGTGCTGAGGGAAGCGGGGGGACCACAATTTTGTGCTGATCCTCTATGAAAAACTCCCGGTGCTCACTGGCCCAGAAAATATTTTTCTTACCTGCGGTGGTTTAATAAAGCAGTAGCAGAGCATTAAAGCATGACATAAAGTACTGTCTGGTTAAAAGAATTAAACCGACCAGCTCTAAAACCACGTCTTGCATGCAGTCATTTGCGTGCCTGGCTTCCAAAATGGATAATTCACCGTTTCTCTCCGTACATTCAGCAAAAGAGGAAAAGGGAATATCGAACAAGCTAGTGGACCATATTCATGAAGGGTAACAAAAACACCTCATAAAGCTAAATGTAATAACATAAGAATGGCCTTGCTGGATCTGATCTAGCTAAACTGGGAGATGCGGGTGGCGCTGTGGTCTAAACCACTGAGCCTCTTGGGCTTGCTGATCAGAAGGTCAGTGGTTCGAATCCCCACAACCAGGTAAGCTCCCGTTGCTCCCAGTTCCTGCCAACCTAGCAGTTCAAAAGCACACCGGTGCAAGTAGATAAATAGGTACCGCTGTGGCGGGAAGTTAAACAGTGTTTCCGTTCGCTCTGGCACTCATCATGGTGTTCCATTGCGCCAGAAGCAGTTTAGTCCTGCTGGCCACATGACCCGGAAAGCTGTCTGTGGACAAACACCAGCTCCCTCGGCCTGAAAGTGAGATGGGCGCTGCAACCCCATAGTCACCTTTGACTGGACTGAACCATACAGGGGTCCTTTACCTTTCATAGGAAGGGAACCTATGACCACCCAGATATTTATAGAGTACAAATCCCATCATCCCTGACCAATGGTCATGCTGGCTGAGACCGATGGGGGTTGTAGCCCAACAACACATGATGAGGAACATGTTCTCTAGCATGAGAAAGAAACTAAGGGGAGAACTCATTCCATGTGACAAACTGTCAACAATTCCTTTAAAAAAGGGCTAAAGTAGTTGTATAAGGAGCTAAGGTGTATGAATTCGTTTATTTCCCTCATATCACAACAGACAGAGAAGATGAATTTGGCCCATTGATGTCCTCAAGGTCTATGGCAGCCATGAAGGCAATTTTGTCTCCCATGCAACATCCTGTTCTTCAGATATTCCATTTTTGAGCTGATTCACATTTTACTACCCACCCACCCCCCCGTGACCTGCTGAGACCACACAAATGAAGTGAATAGCATTGTCCTTTCCTTCTTGAAGACCTCTTTCTCTGGGTAGGGATGGGGGTGAAATTCAATTCAGTAGGCATTTAAATGTGAACCTACAAAATTTGCTCGCTCTCTAACAATACGTGAACCGAAATGCAGCCATCCACTGAAATTTCCACTTGCCTGAATTTTGCAGTTCTCCAACCAAGTAATGTGTGCACAAATGTATATAGGAGGCTAAAGTGTGCATATGGTTGCTTGTGTTAGTGTAGCCAACATACAAAAATGCATTCTGTGTGGGAGAAATTGTAAGAATGTTTGTACTAGGCAAAATGGCATACAAAAATGTGCATATTAGAAATTCACACTAAAATGCAAACACCAGCACACTTACATAGGACTCAGTTTCGGAGTTCAATATTATACAGGAATATTTCACTAGATTTTATACCAGTGGGAACGCACCACCAAGTTCCAGCAGTGCTTCTTATGTATGTG